ATGATTAATACAACTTGCGAGGCACCCTTGGCATGGCTCAGGCATTCTGCTTAGACAAGCCAGGCTGTCTGAGAGTCTTGCCAGTGCATGTATCTTCCTTGGCTGGCATGCTTTCCCTGGTCACCTTTGCAAGTCGGCTTCCCTACTTAAAACACCTCCAGTCTCCATCCAGTCTCCTGCTCCACAATTCCCACCTGGAGAGCAGTCCTCACTAAGTCCTCCACAGCCTGCCTGCATCCATCTTGGGACATTTCATTCCTATGACTGTCCCCAGTGTGTCCCATCTGCTGTTCACACTCCTCTTTCCCAGGTGCCCGTTTCATACCTCATGCAACACTTCTGTCGCCTGGTGGCCTGAAGCACATGCGCATGGCGTGTCCTGGCACAGGTAGAGTAGGATCTGATGTCCATGGGCCCTCAGCATCTCCACCACATCTCATGAACCCTTCCTTGCCTAACAGTCCAACATCACTCCGACATTTCCTGTGGGATGGTGGGGTGGGGTACACGCACTTCTCTGTGGGTCTCCATTGACAAACTTTACGCTTAGCACTTTACAGGAAATGGTTTCATTCAGGCCGGAAGTAAGGAGGTTCTGCAAAGCTGTGCAGCCCTACTTTCCTGGCGCCCACTTTGGACGTAACCACTACTGCAAACAACTCTCGCTTCTTCTGCCCCCGAGACACCCTCTGCCCCAAAGACTGTGGCAGGGTTCCTAGTGGTCCCCTCACTTGCGGCAGATCCCTTGATTCCACATCTCAGAGACTAGTACATGTGCCCTCTTCACTCATGTCAGGGAAAAACTCTCTCAAACTGCTTTTTCCCTCTGCCCTCAAACAACAACGATCATCAACACAGAAGATCTCGATAACCAAAGGTGTGGGGTTTTTCTCCCCACACACCAAGCAGGAGACACCAGGAGTGTCCTCAAATGCAGTTTCAACACTACCTACCTGGAGACAGTGTCATATCCCACAGGTTGGGGGCTCAGTCCCTAAGGCCTCTCCCTCTTTCTCCCCAGTTGCAAGTCTGGGCCTCTGGAACCTCTGACTAACTGGCTTCAAGTTGGGGTTCCCATAATCCCCTTCTTGGGTTCATTTAATTTGCTGGAGTGACTCACATAACTCAGGGAAACACATTTGCTGGTTTATTATAAAGGATATTATGAAGGATACAGATGAAGAGATGTGGAGGGTGAGGTAAGGGGAAAGGGGCGTGGAGCTTTCATGGTCTCCCTGGGTGTGCCACTCTCCAGGAAGTGTTCATTCTCCAGATAGTGTTCAGCTATCTGGAAACTCTCTGAACCCTGTCATTTTTGGGTTCTTATGGAGGTTTCATTACGTAGGCATGATTGACAACCATGCAGAAATGTGATTGGACAAAAAGCATGTGATACAAACCCAGCAAGGCTTGTCTGTTTGCCTCTCTGTGCAGCATTCCTTCCTCCAGGGTATGAGGCAAGGCCCTTTCTGGAATGAGACCCACAATCAAGTTAGAGTCTTGCTTGGGGCAGGTGGAAGAAGGACAGGAGAAGGTAATAGAGATTCTGTTTAATGAGGCCTACAGTGCCCAACAATATAACAAGGAGTTAGGATCCAGGAGCTGCAGACGAAAAGCAAAATATATGGCCGGCGCAATGGCTCACAACTGTAATCCCAGCACTTTGGGAGGGCTGAGGCCGGTGGATCACTTGAGGTCAGGAGTTTGAGACCAGCCTGGCCAACATGGTGAAACCGCGTCTCTACTAAAAATACAAAAATTAGCCGGGTGTGTGGTGGCGGGCACCTGTAATCCCAGCTACTCGGGAGGCTGAGGCACAAGAATCACTTGAACCCGGGAGGCAGAGGTTGCAGTGAGCAGAGAGCACACCACAGCACTCCAGCCTGGGCAACAGAAAGAGACTCGGTCTCAAATAAAAGGAAAGATATATATACACACACACACACAATAACACCACAGCTTTTACTTTTTTAATTGACTTAACTTTTGTTTTTTGTTTAGAGATGGAGTTTCGCTGTTGTTGCCCAGGCTGGAGTGCAATGGTGCGATCTCAGCTCACTGCAACCTCTGCCCCCTGGGTTCAAGCAATTCTCCTGCCTCAGCCTCCCAAGTAGCTGGGATTACAGGCATGCGCCACCACGCCCAGCTAATTTTGTATTTTTAGTAGAGATGGGGTTTCTCTAGATTGGTCAGGCTGGTCTCGAACTCTCAACCTCAGGTGATCCGCCTGCTTCAGCCCCCCCAAAGTGCTGGGATTACAGGCGTGAACCACTGCACCCGGCTGATTGAACTTTTCATAGATAACTTATTTATTATAAAGAATTAATTTGTTAGCTGGGTGTGGTGGCTCACACATGTAATTTCAGCACTTTGGGAGACCAACGCAGGTTTATTTACAATAAATACAAAAAGTATCTAGGCCTGGTGGTGTGCACCTGTAGTCCCAGCTACTCGGCAGGCTGAGGTGGGAGGTTCACCTGAGCTGGAGAGGTTGAGGTTTCAGTGAGCTAAGATTGTATCACTGCACTGCAGCCTGGGTGACAGAGCCAGACTTTGCCTTAAAACAAAAAAGAAAGAAAGAAAGAAAGAAAGAAAGAATTTGTTGCATTCCAGATAAAAATTCCAGTGGGAAATTTTGATTCACCTTGCATTTAATTTATAAATAAATTTGGGAGAATTGGTATCATTGCTAAGCTAAAATATAATCTTTGTGGACATGATGTACATTGCCACTTTTTATCCTTTAACAGACTAAATTTTCTCTGTAAGAGGTTATTTCCTAGATAATATTTTTGGTACTACATTTTGCTATATTTTGTAACTGTTGTTGCAGAGAAATGCTATCAATTTTTAAAATTTCGCTATGAATACAGCAGCCTCACTGAATTCTCTTAGTAGTTCTAATAGTTTGCCATTTGATTCTGACAGGTTTTCTATGTAAAAGATGGTGTCATCTTGAAACAATGATCGTTTCATTTCTTCTCTTTCACCTCTTACCTTCCTTGTGTTTCTTAAGCATTGGGCAGGTCCTTCAGGGATATGTGAAACAGTAGCAGTAACAACTGGATATCTTGGCCCTTTTTTTCCCCCCGCCCCATGATGGAGTCTCACTTACTCTGTTGCCCAGGCTGGAGTGCCGTGGCACGATCTCAGCTCACTGCAACCTCCACCTCCTGGGTTCAAGTAATTCTCCTGCCTCAGCCTCCTGAGTACTTGGGATTACAGGTGCCTGTCACCACATCCGACTAATTTTTGTACTTTTAGAAGAGATAGGGTTTTACCATGTTGGCCAGGCTGGTCGCGAATTCCTGACCTCCAATGATCCACCTGTCTCGTCCTCTCTAAGTGCTGGGATTACAAGTGTGAGCCACCACGCCTGCCATTGTGGCCTCTTTATTGGTCTTCTTGAGAATACACCTGAAGTGTCTTCATCACACATGTTTGCTGTAGAGCAATGGTTCTCAAACCTTTTGGTCTCAGGATCCCATTACACTATTAAAAATTATTGAAGACCCCAAAGAACTTTTATTTATGGGGACTCTATTTATCAGTATTTACCATATTAGAAAGAAAAAATTTAAACATTTATCAATTCTTCAAAAAATTATAAATCTTCTATATGTTAACATAAATAATATATTTTTATGTAAAAGCCATTTTCCAAAAAAATTAGTAAGAAGAGTACTATAGTTTTACCCTCTTGAAAATTTTTCATGTCTGATTTTTTTTTCATACCTGGATTTCCCTATCTGATTCATCATCCAATTTGTTTTAATATGTTGTTTAGATTGGAGTATATGAAGAAAAGTCAGCCTCACAGAGATATATAGTTGAAAAGGGGGAGTGTATCTTAATGGTATTTTTAGATAATTGTGGCTATTCTTTTTTTTTTTTTTTGAGATGGAGTCTCGCTCTGTCGCCCAGGCTGGAGTGTGGTGGCACAATCATGACTCACTGCAAGCTCCACCTCCCGGGTTCATGCCATTCTCCTGCCTCAGCCTCCCGAGTAGCTGGGACTACAGGCACCCGCCACCACGCCCGGCTAATTTTTTAAAAATTTTTGGTAGAGACGGGATTTCACTGTGTTAGCCAGGATGGTCTTGATCTCCTGACCTCATGATCCACCCGCTTCTGCCTCCCAAAGTGTTGGGATTACAGGCGTGAGCCACCACACCCGGCAATTGTGGCTATTCTATACTATACCAAACTCAACAAGTGGTAGCTTCTGAAAAGTCAGTTACAATGTGGAAATCCGCACTCATATCAACGAACTTATCATATTGTGTGTACTCATGAGAAAATGAGACTGAAACATGAAAACAGTGTGTTAGTACTATTCTAAAAATAATTTTGATATCAAAGCCTCCCTAAGGAGGGATTATCAGGGTTCCCTGGAAAACAGTTTGAGAACTGTTGCTATAACATATTGATATTTATCCTTTCTCAAGTCAGAAAGGGTCTCTTTATTTTGTTATACATTTTCCTTATCATCAATAGATGTTGACAATTATGAAATTAATTTTCTGCATCTAGTAAAATAAATGTACAGTCCTTTCCTTTGATTACTGGTACAGTGAATTACAAAGATAGATTTTTCTGATATTAAACTCTTCTTGAATCCCTGGAATAAACCCTGGTTGATCATGATGTACTATTATTTTCTCTACCGAGTTGGAAACATTTAGCATCTCTCTGTGAGCTCTTTCTCCCTGGGAGTGTCAACTACCCTGCCTAAAAGATGTGTGACTGTGTGTGTAGACCCGTTCCAGCAGGTACCACTCTCAATGGTTTTAAGGTGGCAGGATGTGGTGGGAGAGGCGGAGGTGTCAATGCATAGGTGTCAGAGCAGAGTCTACAATGTCATTGTTCACATGGGAGCCATGCATTTGCTATTTATGGGGCGTTTGGCCATCCTTTACCTCCTCGCCCCACCCATTTCTCAGAGATTAAAAAAATGTTTTTAAAGACAATCTTGCTGTGTTGTCCTCATGTGTCCAATGTGGCCTCAAACTTGTGGGTTGAAGCAGGCCTCCTGCCTTGGCCTCCCAAGTAGCTGGGACTACAGGCACATGCCACTGTGCCTGGCCCATGTCTAAATTTTTTGTTTGTTATTACAAATGCCTAGCCCTCAGGGTATGAACATGGACTGCAGAAGAAGAAACCAGAGTTGCTGCTATGTCCACCAGCCTCTCTGCATGTCCTGGCCTCAGCCCTGCTGGGCTCTGGTACTAACCCATCTCTGGCCACCATGCTCCTCCACAAGCCGCTGCAGAGCTAATCTGACCCTGTTGATGTTCTCATGAGAGAGTGAACTGTGTGGCCCCTGCATCCCTCCGTGATAATAGAGCAGAACAAGAGCTCTCCCATCCTTCCCTGCCTGGAAGCTGGGCACATCCCCAGCTGGGCTGCCAATTTAATGCACCACACTCGCATTCTCCCAAGGTGGGGCTCCAGGACTAGGCAGGAGCAGCAGAAAGTGCCCTGCTCTACATTGCCCTCGGCGCAAGGGGCCAGCTTAGAAAAGGCATTTCCAAATTGGCTAGGCCAGCTGAGCAGAGATTTTCTGTGCTGAGAAATCTCAGGATACCCAGACAGAGGGGTGGAAGGAGCCTTCCAGGGCACACATGAGATGTGGCAGGGGTAGGCTGTCCATTTTAAAACTTAAAGGCTTTAGATATGAACTCACAGGGATTCATGTCAGGGCCATCTGCCATGTGGCCCAGCAGGGCCCATCCTGAGGAAATGACCAGTATAGTCAGGAGCTGACTGAAAAGCTGCCCTCCACACCTTCCAGCAGCCCAGGTGCCACCATCACGGGGCTCCCACTCTCAACTCTGCAGCCTCAGCCCCCTCAATGCTGAGGAGCAGAGCTGGTCTCCTGCCCTGACAGCTGCCATGCACAGCAAACCTATCTTGTTCCCACAGGTTGCACAACTGGGATAAATGACCCGGGATGAAGAAACCACTGGCGTCCAGGAACTTGTCTTAGACCGTTTTGTAGGGGAAATGACCTGCAGGGACTTTCCCCAGGGACCACATCCAGCTTTTCTTCCCTCCCAAGAGCCCAACAGGGAAGACTCAGCATAAATAGCAGCCACCTCTCCCTGGCAGACAGGGACCCGCAGCTCAGCTCCAGCATAGATCAGGTGAGGAGCACGCCAAGGAGTGATTTTAAAACTTACTCTGTTTTCTCTTTCCCAACAAGGTTGTCATTTCCTTTAGAAAATAGTTATCCTGGGGCCTACAGCCATACCATTCTGAAGGTGTCTTATCTCCTCTGATCTAGGGAGGTAAGCAGGGTAGGCCTGGTAGTACTTGGATGGGAGACCACCTGGGAATACCAGGTGCTAAAAGCTTTAAGAATAAAAAATTGTGATCTTACTTTGTGTTTGTCCCATGTTGAGTTCTGTGCTGGGCAGAGGGAACACATGGTAAATGCGTTGTTGGGAATTACAGGCTACTTGAGGGAGTGACAGTCTGGTCATAGCTCCCGCCTTCCTCCATCAACACCACGTTGGCATCCTCTTACACAGTCAGGCTTTAGGGCTGATGGGTTCAGAACCAAGGGCTTCTGGCTCTGAGTGAGGTCCTGCTGCAAGGTTTCTTAGATGAGCCACTAAGATTCTAATAAGATCCAGTGGAAATAACCAGGCTCTCGTTGGAATATGACTCCCAAGGAAAGCTGTGCCACTCTTGTGGGCGACTGTCTGACTTCTCCTTTCATTTCAGCACCATGAAGCTTCTCACGGGCCTGGTTTTCTGCTCCTTGGTCATGGGTGTCAGCAGCCGAAGCTGGTTTTCCTTCCTTGGTGAGGCTTATGATGGTAAGGCTTCAGAAGGTATGCAGGATTTCTGAAGAGAAGCATCATCCTGGACCTGATCAAATGGGGGAAATGATGCTTTCGGAAGGCTGCTTTTGAACCACAGAGTTGCTAGTGTCTGCGTTGCTAAGGCCTGTCATGAACTAGGGTTTGCGGGATTGCCCATCTCGGGTCTTTCAGAGCTGCTGGGAATATCTTCTTTCCCCGTAGTGCAGCTTCTCGGTGTGTTCAGCGGATGGATCACGTTTCAGAAGCCGCTGCAAGGTGTATCAAAAACACATCTCCTGAGCCGTAAGGGACGAGAGATCCAGTAACAATGCACACGGGGTATTTTTGTGCTTTCTTAAGGTTTGAGCCGCTGCCTTAGGTTGTGGTGCCCAACGTGCAGGATGTGCCGGGTGTCTGGGGAGCTGCTCAACAGCTTAGAGAGTCAGTCAGTTGCTCAGAGAAAGAATAATCATCCTTTCCAGGAGTAGCTGAGCTTTTGTTTTGAGTAGAAGATGCAAAATAAGGCCTGCAATTGGTATAAAATATCCCTCAGCATAAATCTCATAAGAGCATGACTAAGGCTGTTGACCCTTGTGTCTTCTTTCTCCTTCCTCCTTTGCTTTCCTAGTTGGATAATGTACAGGGCTCTTTAGCCTCGCTCTGTCAGGGGCTCCCTTCCTGGTTTGTTCCATTTCCATTCCTTCTCCAGCCTTCTTGACAGGAGATGGGAACTGACGTGCATCAAACTCCCACAAGGATCAGAACATTTTCTCATTGAATTTCAGAATGACTCTGTGAGGCAGGCATCCTCCCCTCTTTGAAGGTGAGGAAGCTGAGGCTTAGAGCAGCTGAGACCACTGCCCAGGGACTTACTGCCAGTCAGCAGGTGGCAGAGCAGAGGTTTGAGCCCAGCTGTGCTTGAGGTCAGAGCTCTTGCCAGGTAGACGCATCACTGACCAGCTCCTAGAGCTTGATGGTTATGAATCTCAGGCACGCCTTGGCATCACCTGAACTACCCACGCCTGCAACTCCCCAACAGAGTCTGCAGAAACTGGCCTGGGGTGTGGCCTGGGCATTGGGACTTTCAGTTTCTCTCTGGGTGATTAGAGAGTGCAGCCAAGGCTCACACCTGTAATTCCAGCACTTTGGGAGGCCAAGGTGGATGAATCACTTGAGGTCATGAGTTTCTGAGCAGCCTGGCCAACATGGTGAAACCCTGTCTCTACTAAAAACAGTAAAATGTAGCCAGGCGTGGTGGCAGGCACCTGTAATCCCAGCTACTCGGGAGGCTGAAGCAGGAGAATCACTTGAACCCGGGAAGCAGAGGTTGTAGTGAGTTAGATCGCGCCAGTGTGCTCCAGCCTGGGTGACAGAGCGAGACGCCGTCTAAAAAACAAAAAAAGAAAGTGCAGCCAAGGCTGAGCACCACTGCTCTATTACTTCCTCAAGCAACCCACAGCATCAGTACAGCCTACTGAGAAAGTGTTTAGGGACTTTTATGCTCCTAGCAGTCACTGGGACTCAGGTCACAATGAGATGTATTCCATTTGCAAGAATATATATTTTAGTAGTCAGGGCAGAGGTGCTCTGTGTCTGCCACCTTTCTCAGCATCAGTATTTCATGTCACCACCTCATTCCTATACACTCCTGGATCTTATCACAGACAGCTTCATTCTATAGCAGTGGCTCTTCACCAGGGGACCTGGAGAAGCCAACTAGGATAAAGGAATGTGCTTCTCAACCCACGATATCCAAGGCTGCTAAGATCGCAGGCTGAAAGCTTGAAGTCAGTGGAAGATTTGTCCTTCTTTCATTCCCCTCTAAGGTGTTGTTGGATTCTTCATGTTCTCCTGATGTCCCTTCTGCCTTTCTATTCCTTTCCAGGTGCTCGGGACATGTGGAGAGCCTACTCTGACATGAGAGAAGCCAATTACAAAAATGCAGACAAATACTTCCATGCTAGGGGGAACTATGATGCTGCCCAACGGGGACCTGGGGGTGCCTGGGCCGCAGAAGTGATCAGGTAACTGGAGCTCCTGGGATGCCAGGGCTGGGTGAGCAGAGCTTGCCTGCCTTGGACAATCAGGGGGGAGGCGAGCTCCTTGTAGAGAAGTTAGAGGCTACAGACCCTCCTCCTCTTGCCCTCTCTCTGCCTCTGTGCTCAGTGTGAGGGTCTGAGTGATGGGGTAGGAGCGAGTGATTCCTCACCCTCCCTCTCTGGGTGCTGTTCATCCAGCCTGGGGGTGCCCAGCCTGACTGGGGCGGTGTCCAGGCAGGGTCAGTGTTTTCACCCCTCCTTCCTTGGCCTTTCTGGGCTCCTGTCAGAGCCCTCCCTTGGAACCCCCATTCCAAGGGAGTTTGGGAGGGTGGACTGTTGCTCACTGGCCTGGTGATTAATCTCCCTCTTGCCTGCCTGGACTACAGCGATGCCAGAGAGAATATCCAGAAACTCCTGGGCCATGGTGCGGAGGACACACTGGCTGATCAGGCTGCTAATGAATGGGGCAGGAGTGGCAAAGACCCCAATCACTTCCGACCTGCTGGCCTGCCTGAGAAGTACTGAGCTTCCTCTTCGGTCTGCTCTCAGGAGACCTGGCTGTGAGGCCCTCAGGGCAGGGACACACAGTTAGTGAGGTCTGTGTCCACAGAAGCTGAGATATGGCATACAATAGGCATCTAATAAATGCTTAAGAGGTTGAATTTGTTGAAACAGTGTGGTCTTTTGGTGCGTACTGCCTGTTTGGTACAAAGGGGAAATCAATGCACCCTCACGTGAAGGGTGAGCCTAGGTAGGCCTGTGTGTTTGGATGTGAGGAGACATTCTTAGCAGTCACAGCGCAGACACCTGCATCAACCCCTCCACGAGTCAGACCTCCTTTTTTCCAGACCCTTGTGGATACATTATTGCTATTTCCAGTCCCTTCCTTGTCCAGGCTTCTCATCTCCTGTCAATTATTTCCTGTTGCCTTCTCTGTCCCCCAGTTCTTCGTTCCTCAGTGATCTCTGTTTCTGGAGGCAGGGGACACAGACAATTGAATCATGAAATCCTGCCTCAATGACTGCCACCCCAATCTTCCTTTCATTTCTCAGCAACACCTACAAATTCAGGCATTAATGACTTTCTACCCATTCTGTCTAAAAAATACCTCCAATGCAGTTCTCTTCCACTCTGTTTTTGTTGCCTTATTTCAAGTCTAAATATGTAATGCGACTCCTTTTATGAATGTTTTCTGAGTTTCTGGACCTTAACTAGATCAAAATTATGGAAGTCGTGGCAGTGAAGAGAGAGCCAGATAGAGATGAACTGTTTTATCAGTCAGGGTCCCTTTGGAAGACAGAAACCAGGCAGTAATTTGAAAAGGGAAATTTTAATATAAAGAATTATTAACTGATAGCAGCATTAACTTCTAAGAGTACAGCATATGAGAAGGTATAAATTTGAGATTGGGCCCCTCACAAGACTGACATTGGATGGCAAATAATTTACTGGGTCCTTCAAGCCAAAACTAACAAACTCCATTGAGGTATTAATGAAACTTGGCAGGAACCTGCCCAGGGTGTAACTTAACTCTGGGAATGCAGCTAGGGTTCCTGCGACAAATTTGGGAAACTGTCTGCTTAGGGGCAAGAGAGAGGATGTTATCACACCCCCTGGGAAGCCAGCTGTGAAAGTGGCAGTGCTCTGGACTGAATTATATCTTGCCAAAATGTGTATCTTGAAACTCCAACTCACAGCATGGCTGTACTATTTTGTTACAGCAGCCCGAGCTGATTAAGATAAGTGGGCTGCTGGTGAACATCATGGACGTCCTACTGAGGTGCCACAGAAATTGTCAGGAAACTGCCTTGGCCTTGGGATGCCACTCAGATCTCTGGGGCGAGTGCCACTGGGTGTCCTGTACAGGAGCTGAGAGGAAGCAAAGCACACGCGATTAGGAAAAGATGTCTTCATCTCCTGCTTGGCCCTCTAACACCCTCTATGTGTGAAGATTAACATCATGCCCAACTGGCAAAGGAGAAATGCTTACAGGGTCCAGCTCCAGCATCACAGGGCAAAGGGGTGGATGTGGAGCTCAAAATAAAGAAACTGTTAACTGGCACACCCCTTTTCTCTGAAAAAGGAATTGAAGAGGACTCCTAAGGTGAGAAGATTAGTTATAAAATTAAATTTACAGAGGAAAGACAAACTGATTTGTCAAGGAGGAAGAAAATGTATGGTTATAAAGTAGAACTATTTACAGCAGAACTTTCTCATACAGTTCCCATCAAAAGACGCTAATGGAAGTGTAGGTATGGGAGGTATAGGAGGTTTGAGTCTGAGTCTCAAAGATGTGTCAATGCCAAAACAAGGCAAAGGCAAGATAAATAAGATGAAGGTGAGAGGTGGAAGATTGGCTCATGGGAGCATACTCGATCCACTGCTGAGATTAGTGTTCAGTCTAGTAAGGTCTGAATTGACCCCAAGTTGTAAAAAGAGACTGTAATGCTATTATTAGGATGCTTACAATCAGATTTCTGTCACAAGTACTTAAGTTGTAGATTTTGGGGGGCTGGAGATGAAGAAAAGGAGGGTGAGAGAAAGAATGGCTTTCAAAGGCAAATAAAGCAAGCTTTCAAAGTCTTTGCAGATATACAAAACTTTGCAATCAACACATTATTACTAGAAATAATTCACTGAAGCAAGATTCGGATACAGAAGTTCATTCATCAGTCTGTAAAGGACCAAATCACTCCCCTTCTTGAAATCTATACTTTGAAAAAAAATTTAATTCAATATAGTCCATAGGTTAAAAATGTTTTAAATCAAAATTTATATCCAAGGAAAAAAGTGCTTTGTTTACCCAGAAATCTATAATTTGTAAAGTCACACCTAATCCCTATGCTCTGACACACCCAAATACCTTTTATTAATTACTTGGTTTTTCTCAGTAAGAATTAACATGCTTCTCTCTGTTAGAAAAGTTTGAGAAAGGGAAATTGAATTGCTCTATGTTATAGTTGTGTTTTGTTTTGCTTCGTTATTTGAGACAGGGTCTCCCTCTTTTGTCCAGGCTGAAGTGCCATGGCGGGATCATGGCTCACTGCAACCTCGACCTCTCGGGGCTCAAGAGATCCTTCCACTTCAGCCTCTTGAATAATGGGGACTGCAGGTGTGTGCCATGACACTTGGCTAATTTTTGTATTTTTTGTAGAGACGGGGTTTTGCCGTGTCGCCCAGGCTGGTCTTGAACTCCCGGGCTCAAGTAATCTGCCTGCCTTGGCCTCCCAAAGTGCTGAGATTACAGGCATGAGTCACTGAGCCCAACCCACTGATATATATATATATATGTGTATGTGTATATATATAAATTTGAGGGTGCCCAGATTCACATTGTTTCTGGGGTCATCTGTGAGGGTGTTTCCAGAAGAGACTAACATTTGAACTGGACCCAATAAAGTAGATTGCTATTCTCAGTGCAGTTGAGCATCACCCAATCTGTTGAAGGCTTGAATAGAACAAAATAGAGGAAGGATGGATTTACCTCCCTTTTCCACTGCCTCGCTGCTTGAGTTGGACATCTCCCCTCATCTTCTCTTCCCTCAAACTGGATTTATATGATCAGTTCCTCTGGTTCTCAGGCCTTTGAACTCAGACTGAATTATACTTTCGTGAGTTTCTAGCTTGCAGATGGCAGATTGTGGGACTTCTCAGCCCTCATGATCTTGTGAGCCAATTCCTTACAATACATACATACATACATACATATACATACATACACAAATAAATCATTTATCTTGTGTCTCTCAAGAACCCTGACTAATAGGGTACTGAATCTTTTCAATCTTATCTCCTATGACTTTAATTCATGTACCTCATGCTACACGCAAATTGAGCTGCTTATTATTTTTAAACATGTTGTTGAATTAGGAATTATTTGAGACATTCAGAAATGTGCTTCCATGTGTTCATTCAGTGTTTATTGTTATTTAAAATATTTGTTTGTTTATTTATTTATTTATTTATAGATTTAGGGGGTACAAGTACAGATTTGCTACACTGATAGATTGCATAGTGGTGAAATCTGGGTTCTTAGTGTAACCATCACCCGAGTAGTGTTTACTGTACCTGTTAGGTAATTTCTCAACCCTCCACCCCTTTCCACCCTCCATCTTTCTGAGTCTCTAGTGTCTATTATTCCACTCTCTATGTCCATGTATACACATTATTTAGCTCCCATTTATAAGTGAGAAAATGTGATATTTGACTTTCTGGGTTATTTCACTTAAGATAATGGCCGCTAGTTCTATCTATGTTGCAGCAAAAGGCATGATTTCATTCTTTTTAATGGCTGAATAGTATTCTATGGTGTATATATGTGTATACACACATACACACACACCCCCATCATCCGTTGATAGACACTTACATTAATTCCATATATTTGCTACTGTGAATAATAGTATTGTGATAAATACACGCATTCAGGTGTATCTTTTATACCTTTGGGTAGGTACTCAGTAATGGGATTGCTGGGTCAAATGGTAGCTCTGTTTTTAGTTCTCTGGGAAATCTCCATACTGCTTTCCACAGAGGCTATACTAACTGACATTCCCAGGAACAGTGTATAAGCATATGCTGGAAGAAACTATTCTCTTATCTGCCTTATGGCTGCATCCCATCAAAGAGAAAACAACTGCCTTCCACCTGCTCCATGGAATCTCATTATATCAGAGAAGATGACTGAGGAATTCAACCACGACTGGATGGGCTTTTTCAAAAGATGACACTTGCTTCTTGGGCTCATTCAAATTTCAAGAGAACCATTTACAAGTTAATTTCTATCCCTCAGGTCCACTCATTCTTCCTAACAATCATTCATGACTTCAAAAAAATTCCCCATCTTCTACATTCCCCATCTTCTCCTCCCCTATGAAGAATGGTATATGATCACCTGTACCCCATTGGTATTTGGGAAATCACCCTCCTGTGATTTTTCCCCATGCATGTTAAAATAAATGTATACGACTTTTTCTCTTATTAATCTGCCTTTGTCAGTTTATTTTCAGCTGAACTCCGGAGAGTGAAGGAAGAAGCTTTTTTTCTTCATTCCTACATAACCCAGGCATTGATCCAGGCAATGAAGATTCAGTGTAAACAACCACCACTAACAAGACCATGGCCTTTGGAACCTATGCTAAGAGGCATGGATGAGCTCCCTCAGCATGTGGATGGAGACTGAAGACAGGTCTGAAGGTTCAGTGTAGGTGTCTCCATTCTCTAAGAAGTTTGGAGGAGAAGCTGGATACAGCAAAACAGATTGAGAAGGAGCAGCTGTTGGGAAAGGAGGAAAACTAGGAAAGCATGGTGTTCCAGAGTCCCTGATGGAGCTATTGATTAGTAGTATCAGATTCTGCCCAGCAGTTGAGGAGTTCACCTTTGGCTTAAGCAACATGGGGTCACTGACTATCTCGTGAAGGTGGTTGCAGGGGAAGGTCTGGAGAACTAAATGGAGCAGTGATAAGAGAGAATGGGAAGTGGTATGATAGGACTCCTGGACACCCCAGACATCAATCAAAACACCACAGACAAGAAGGTGTGGATACAAAAACTAGCAGTTAGAAGAAATAATAGAAAATGAACTCCAACTACTTCTGAAAAAAAGTAGTGAGGGCAATTAATACACTGAATAAAGCCTCAATAAGTACAACAGTGT